CAAAAACAAGCTAACAAACAGATTATTCATTCATTCTATTGGAGCTACCTAGTGAACAAACTGTTCTTGCAGGTGAGAGACCCATCATCATTGTCTTCTGCACATGTTAGGCCAATGACTGCAGATCTCACAGGACAGACAATCTGTGCTTCTTGAATAATCTTTGTCCTAGAGAGCTAGCTGTCTCTAACGGTCTTCTGATTGATACTTACCCTGCCCATTTCTGTGACATTACCCCCATGCTAATCTACAGTAGAAGTGCTGTTGATTAGTTTTAGTTAGAAAAGGAAATATATGGACTGGAATTCAGGTATCCCACATTAACCAGTGTCCCAGATTACCTTTATTCACCCAATATAATAATGAGTTCATCTTTTATTTAAATTTCCAGCTTGAATGTACAAGGTTTTTCAAATGAGCTTTACTTCAAGTATCAGAGATCACATACTTTATGTAAAGGAACATTGGCCTACAAAAATGAAAGGACTTTGTTTTTTGTTCCTTATTGTGTATGTGTTAGTTATGGATATACTGATGCTCTAATATTTCGGGTTTGAAGGTCTTTGTAAATAATAATGATCTGCAGCAGGAAAACTAATGTGAGTCCAATGTTTTGGCCCCTTGTGCTTTGTGACAGACTATTGTCAGACTATTAAGTGTCTTGTGCCTTCCAGTTCTTATTTTTAGCACTATTCTCTGTAATAAGCATGTTATTATTAATAATAAAATGACTGTGCCATCAATACATTGTACTGTCATATATGTTTAGTAACACATGTAACACGATTCTTTTGATTTTATATTTTAGTGTTTCAACTCCCATAGCTCTAGGACCTCCGGAAAGGGTAGTCCCATCTAAACCCTCATGGTTGATGCACTTATTTTAAGTTGCTGTGGTTAAAAGCGTCAGCTAAATGTAATGTAATGTAAACCACCACAGGGGCAGGTTTGGAGAAAATATCCCTCTTGTTCAAATTGTGTGTTTGTGTGTATGTCCCTGTGGAAAAAAATGTTGAAATGTTAGTGATTTAAGTTGTAAATGGAGATCATACTGTGATTTTCATGGAGGGATGGTGTTTGTCGAACTTTGTCCTTGAGGACAATCTCATGTTGAATGAGATGCAGTTTTCTGTGTGTAGTGCAGTGGTGCCCTTTTATGAGCACACATAATACATACATTATAATCAAGACTAACTTTTATCATAGTAATTAGTACATAAAATCAGTATATACTATCCGCAGCTAATTTCTTGGTACTACACTATATATGATGCTGATGTATTTTTTTTCTGCTTTGACTGTTTTTGTGGTGACAGGTATGGTATACGAGAATTTGTGGTCATTACCCCTGGAACCAACTGTGAGGCCATCGTCAGTGAGTCAAAATGCAATCTGCTCTTCAGTTCCATCTCCATTTCTCTGGCCAACAGTGGCTGGTGAGTGTGATTTATCATAAATGTGAACCTTCTGTTTTGATTCATTGTATGTAAAAGGTCTGTTTTTATATTGGGCTTTTCTCATCTTGATGACCACCCACTCACAAAACAAATAATTGGTGTTACTGCTTAGTCTTTCTACTTTATTATATCATAAATGTTTACCCCATAATGTAATAATGACACGAAACAATGATTCCACAGTATGTGCATTTCAAAAACCAAACATGAATACCAGTAAATGTATTGTCATACCTGTCCCGCTGCAATCAGATGATAACAGGAAATCTTTACATATTGAGTATAGAATTTTGGCCATTGCCATCTTGGTTTATTGAAACCAGAGTTTACTTTATTTGGAGGAGCAGGGTGAACGCTGTACACAAATTTAGGCTCGCGACCAGCACCCAGTGGACATGCCCCATTGCATAACGTGCTTTATCATCTATATTATTCAAATAATGCAGCAGTTTGATGAGTTGATAAACCACAGATGTGTGGATGATTTGGCATTTAGGAGCCGCACGCATACACAAGGATCAGGAGGAAATCAATGAAAGTCCCAGATGAGCTCAGGATCCATAATGTTGCCAGAGGAAACTAGGGATGTCACGATAGGAAATTTTGGTGCCGTGATTATTGTGAGAGAAATATCACGGTTTCACAAACAAAGTTTGCTGAATATCATATCCCTCAATAACAAAGCTCTGCTGATCACAGACTTTATTGTTGACCATAACCGAGACATTCTATGCGTCACTGAGACTTGCCAACAACCAAATGACTTCTCCTAGCTTGCCACCTGGTTATTCTTTCACCATCCGGTGCTACTGGGAGGGGGGGGGGGGGGGGGGGGGGGGGGCAGCCTCGCTCTCCTTCACCGTGATAACATCAAAGTCACTGCTGTCACAGTCCCCCATCACTCCTCTTTGAATGTTTAGCTGTAAAACTCACAGGCCCCAAACCCACTATCATTGTGACCATCTATAGACCACCAAAACCCTCTGCTGTTTTCCTCACAGAATTCTCATCACTACTAACATCTGTATGTGCAATATCCCCCACTGTTATCCTCCTCAGCGATTTCAACATCCACATTGAAAACCCATCCATTATCTTTGCTAAAGACTTCACAACACTCCTGGACTGTCTTGGTATCACACAACATTTCAACCTCCCAACCCATAACAAAGGTCATATACTGGACTTAATCTGCTGTACTGACATCACTCCCACTAACCTTGATGTCACTGATTTCCCCATCTCTGACCACAAAGCTGTACTTTTTGACATCCACACCCAACTACACAAAGCCAAAGAACAATGGACCATCTCCTTCAGAAACATCAAACATATCAACACCACAGATCTCTCCACCCTGATCAGCTCCTACCCCAGCCCTCCCCCAGCATCCTCCCCAGCTGACCTGGTGACTGACTATAATAACTGCCTCTCCTCTTCCCTTACCACCCTGGCCCCCCTGACAACCCAATCAGTCTCATTTACTCACATTGCTCCCTGGTTCACCCCTGAGCTCCGCCAGCTCAAAGCTACTGGCCGTCGACTGGAGCGACTCTATAAAAAGACTGGACTCACTGTACACAGCCAAATGTACTCTGACCATCTCCATCAATACAAGAACACCCTCACCACTGCCAAATCTTCATACTACTACAACACTGGTACAGGTAACAACAGAGTCCTCTTCTCAACAGTTACTTCAGCCCCCTAAAAACCTCCCTTCAGACATCTCCACCAATCAGTGCACTGCCCTCCTGGACTTCATCAGCTCTAAAATCAACACCATTCATCAACATGTGGCCTCATCTTGCACCTCCTCAAATGACCCACCCTGTACGATCATCAATGGCCAACCTCTCATCAGCTCCCTCTCCGACTTCACCCCAGTATCAGAGCACACCATCTCGGAACTCATCCTTAAAGCCAAAACCACAACCTGTCAGCTCGATACTCTTCCCACCTCCCTTGTCAAAACCTGTCTGCTGTCCATTTCCCCCATGATCACCAACATAATTAACTCCTCCCACACCACTGGTACTGTACCCCCCACTCTCAAACTGGCTGCCATCACACCCATCCTGAAAAAACCCTGTGCTGACCCAGCTGTCCTTTACCTTTAACCATTACCGGCCCATCTCCAATCTCCCCTTCATCTCCAAAACAATTGACGCCTCAGTACCATGGGTGCCCAAGCATTCAGCTGCTCAGCACCCAGACTCTGGAACCCCCCTACACATAACACAGTCAGACTCCATCACATCATTCAAGTCCCAACTCAAAACCCACCTGTTTAAACTGGCATACTCCCTATAACCGGACACTGTGCACTTCACTTGTTTTTATGTTGATGTTTTGTTTTTAACATTGTTTCTGATCATTTAATCTTTTATTTTCTTTGCAAGGTGACCTTGGGTGACTTGAAAGGCGCCTCCAAATAAAATGTATTATTATTATTATTATTAATAAGTGTTGACTAATTAGAAAAAGTAAGCAGGTAAACTGTCCTGGTTCAGGCCACATTCTTCATGTCCTTATTATACTATTAGTATCTCCAGTATAGGTGAATTAAACTCTTGGCTACATTTTTAATGGTTAATAAGGAGACAGAGAGAGAGAGAGAGGTTTGTGTGTGTCAGCTGCTCCTACCAGAGATTTCACCTCACGGTGCACACACAAATTATGTGACTCACGAGAGGCAGGACACCATAGACATGGCCATTTTTACAATTCTTACGGTTATGAAATCATGACATGAAACCGCGAGTATGAAACAGCTCTTGATGGTGCTGTGCTGATGTAATGTATGGGGATGGTCAAAAATTCCTTCACAGTAACAGACCTAACACAGATTCATGCATGCTTTTTACTTCACCAACCGAGGGTTCGGGTAGACATTGAATTTAGCAAGGTTTACATCCTCACATATGATGTTGGCGGTATAGACATTTGTCATTAAACAAATTGAAATAGGTGTTATGACAATAGGTTGTTTTATTGACTCAAAGTGCATGTTGAACTAACTGAAACTTTTATAACTGATTTAGCAAATCTAACTTTCAAGGTTCCTGTTAACAACAATTAACAGTATTTTTATGTGTGGCTCCCTGCTTTTTTGGTAATATGATTGCAACAGTGATATGATGTCATTCAGCCAATGTTTTGACTCTTCCGTTTACACTTACAGGTGGTGGTAACATGACAATATGTAACAGTAAATAGGTTTCAGCAAAACCGATTGTAAAGATAAAGAGTTTGTTCAGGGCAACTCACAGTAACAGTAGCAGTAACTAGTGAAAACTTAAATACTAGATTTTGTCAACCAGCTCTTAGATTCAGAGTAGAAACCTGGTTACAAGATGAAGAACTGGATTGGAGCATTATCCAAATGACAGTTTGAGATTTTGTATTAATTATTTTTCCTTTTGATGTGTCTATATTCAGCCAGGTCCCCATATTTGTTCAGATCCAGCAGAAGTGGAGACGGATGTATGCTGGAGAGTGCCAGGGGCCAGGTGTGCGCACTGACTTTGAGATGGTCCACCTCCGAAAGGTGCCAAGTCAGTATAACCACCTGTCTGGCCTGCTCGACATCTTCAAGTCTAAAATAGTAAGTTAGTGCTATGGAGCAAGCCACATTATTTAAATGAAAACCATTTCTCTCTTTCTTTTGTGCTCCCTTATCCAAGGGTTGTATTTGAACTGACAAGCAGGATTAAAGTTCTCTGTCACTACAACAGATTGCCTAAACCGAATGAACAAAAAACCTATGCCTACCTATTTTTGTTAAAAAAGAAATTTCAGGACTATACAATCACATGTTCATCCATTTCAACAAATATTATTTTTACATAGAGAGAGTACAAGTATAACTAGGTAATTTTATTCATATTAATATAAAATAAATGATAAATGTTTAATTGTATATATATGTTTAATTATACATTTATAATATATTTCTACTCACTATTTATATGTTGCTAGGCTAACAAGTGTTTTCAAGTACATCTATAGTGAGTCCAGTTTAAGCTGCAGGAGTTTCCGGCTGCTGTTGGAAAATGTGCTGTAACTGAGGATACAAGATTGGTACTCTGTAGAGTGCAAACCCCTGTCGAGGCCCAATAGTCTTCTTAAATTTAGTCAAGTGGTACCAAATTACAGACACATGTTTTTTTCATCAAGATGCAACACCCATTTATTCTCTAGCAAATCAGTGAAAATGTTAAAAGATGCAATGTTTAAGAAAGTGAAAAGACACATTTTTCCTGATCCAGTTGTGCAAGAGGTTCTTCAATTAACCATACTGCAACCTTTCACTAAGTTTCGTGGCAATGCTTATAGAAAAACCCACCAATCAATGAACAAAGGACAGGGGTGAAAACATAATAATAAGTCATACGTTTGTGCTTCATGCAATTCTATTGTTCAGGTAAAACAACACCACTTTATGTTATGACGATGCTCAGAGCTTATTTTCCAGTTTCTGTGGTCAGCTTTAACCAATATGTCTCCTCTAGGCTCATTCAGTGGTTAATTTGGTAAATTTAATTGAAGACATCTGAAACTGGAATGATAGTCATTATTAGGTTGCAAGTATGTAGAAAGAGCATTGTACAAGAAGACTCAGTTCCTTTTTGAATAAACAGCTGGAAAGGACAAAAATTTGCTTTTGTCTTTTTATCCGATCAATAATAAGATTGTTAACAGTTACGACAAATTGATGATTAAAATAGTTGTAAGTTGCAGACCTACTGAAATGTCTACAATGGCACACTTCATAGGCATTAGCACGAGAGAAAAGTTACTTTTTTTTATTAGGCTTTAAACAGCCATGGAACTGAACTTGTGGTTATGAAATGGCTTTCACCATTTCTATAATATTCAGCAAACCCATCCTAACTAGTAGACTCCAAAAATTCCGAGGTCTGGGCTCATGAATACTACAAGAGGGGGACTTCTAAGCTCTGGGGTTATATTTATTTTCTTTATTTTCCTTGAATATGGTAAACACTCTTTTTTGTAAAGGATGGTGTTCATGTATTTGTTGGGAGACCTGCTGCTTGTCTAGCTAATGTCCAGTCATTCTTTAATATTACCACTTAGAGGTACTGCATTACACATGGCTTGTGAGTTCACACTAAGTGGTCATATATGTGTGAGGAAAAGAATAAAACAATAAAGTATACAATTGTTTATTTTAAAGCCTGGGTTAGGGTTAGGCTTGCAAAAACAGGTATTGCAACATCTCATCAATATCCCTGGGCTGTAAGAACAGTCTGTAATAACCTCTGGCCTGTGTGAAAGGCTACATAAACTGTTGAGTTCACTTTGAAAGCATAGAAACACAATAACAACTATTCAAAAGGCTGCATATAAACATAATTGCAAATATTGCAAAATCTTTCCAATATTATGTAACTATGAATTTTCCCTGCTCCATAATCCTAACTAGGAAACTTATTTTTGTCTGTAGGAACAGTTTGTCACATCTCTTGTCCTCTATGAAATACTTCATAACAATTGTGTTTACTTTGCACTTAATGCACAAGATTTCCTAGAGCAGCGTTTTTCTCTGCAACGCACTGGATTCTTCAGGTTGACCATCTCTGGAAGATGTACAGCAGAAGTTGTGCGGACGTGACTTGATACTTTTTTCCTTTTTGTGAAAGGTGTGCCCTCTCTTCCTTATAATTACTACATGTAATTTGGTGGACACTTTTATCCAAATAGACTTACAATTAGTGCATTAAACATCTATGAAGTCTTAAGTATCCCAAGGACACTTTGGTGTCAATGTGTTTTGTGCTTTTGCTACCACCTAGTAGTAGTAAACGTGTCGCAATGTGCATGCAGCAATGTGCATTTGAGGCATGTCCTCATATGAGGATGCAGGGTCTCCAATTAAATTTTATTTGTATAGTGCCAAAAAATAATATACATTATCTCAAGGCACTTCTGACATAGAAAGTCAAGAACTTACAAATTATAGAGAAACCCAATGGTTCCCACAATGAGCAAGCACTTTGGCAACTGTGGAGAGAAAATCTCCCTCATTAACGCGAAGAAACCTCAAGCAGAACCAAACTCAATATGGCGACCGTCTGCCTCAACCGTTTGGGGTGAGCAGAGAAAAACAGGGAGGACATGATGATATATGACAGGATTCTCAGCACAAAAGAGAATTAAAACTGATTCAGAGGGTCCCTGCGTGTGGACCCTTCTGATTAGAATATGTCTTGAGGGAACTAGCTTAGAGGCTGTATTTGGTTCAGTCAGGGCAAAACAGCTAGAAGGACCAACTACAAGGGTTGGCCTTCAGAGGTGCCAGGCCCAAGTGGTCTTGAGGGGATGTGCTCTAAAGGGAGAAGGAGAGGCATTCTGTAGGAGTAAGTTTATTTTTAACTTGTTTTGTTGAGGTTGTGTTGTAAAGACAGTAATGAGCTGACCACATATACTGTATGTTTACATTTATAGTTCTTCTATTTGGTGTCAACCTCCAGGTGAACCAGGGAGAGTTTATTGGTACAGCTGAGACAGAGAAGAAACACACAGTTGGTTAGGGTTAGGGTTAGGGTTTTTTTTCTCATCCAAAATTGAGTTCTGGTCTTGTTTCTTTAATTCATTAAGTATAGCCCCTAATATAACAATCCATTAACTTTCTTGGCTATTTCTGCAAGCCAGTGTTTGAGCGTTGAAATGGAGCCTGGTACTGCAGTTTTATAACAAGACTGGCGTCAAACACATTTCAGGCAAGATGTTGAAAAGACAATAATGTTGAAAATTCTTGTTCAGGACCTTAAAAACCTTACGGTTCAGTTGATCAATGAAAGCAAAAAAGTGCAAAGTTTGCAGACTGGCTGGATATCTTTATATGCACTTGCTATTTTGCAACATTGTTCATTTTAAATGTATGTTTCTTAGTCCCAGTCCACATTTACAAAAGGTATTTTTCGGACAGGCTTTTTCCTCCTTCGCCCTTAATGTCTCTCAACATGAAATTGCAGCGGTCAAGGGCAGTCAAGCACACCAGACCAAAAGGTAGCCATACAATCCTCACAGGAAAGTTATATTGGCTATTCCAAAAATGAGAAATATACTAATAACAAAAATGCCACAAACCAAAAACTAAGAAGGTTTCTAAAAAAGGTCTGCCTAAATTGCAATTGAAAATGCATAAATAAACCCATGTTTTGATGACATTGACTAGACGACGAAGATGGAAAAAAGTTTCTTAGTCTGTTTGTCCAATTTATTTTATTTCTTAGAACATATCGGTGAAGACATGCTCAACGTTACATTATAATATGTCTTTTTCAACAAAAAAAGACAGACTAGCATAAACCACTTGTTACACATTGGCTCTGTTGTGTAACAAATAAGGAGGAAGTTCATAAGGTACTTGAAGTGTTTATTTTCAAAGAAAACTAACTTAAAGTAAACATGGTAATCAGTTCTGTCAGTGGTGTCTCTAGTGTGTGGGTGTGTGTATAAAAATAAGAATCAAACAATTATCAATGTTGTGCCGCTGCCATGTCCATGGTGGTCCTAGTGAAGGAGAGAGCCAGAGCCCAGTCTGCAGTCCTCTTAAATACTGGTCAGCACAGGTGTGCCACAACCCTGCTGATTCCCATGGTCTGACTCCACCTACAGGAACCAGAAACACATAAACAAGCACAACACCACAGCAGGACAACTCCAGGGTTGTCACACACTTAACATCTTTTTTTTTTTTGCTCAGGGTTGTAACCAGTCCCCTCTACCTCCAGTCAACATTGCAATCCGTTTTACCTACATTCTCCAGGACTGGCAGCAGTATTTGTGGCCACAGCAGCCTCCAGGTATGCACATACAAAACAGAGGATCATGTGATTACAAAGTATAAAATAATCTCTTCGATCACATACTGTTGCTTTTACAAAATTGCTGTCATCATATTCAAGTAGAATCCAATAACATCATATCATAAAATAATGTAAGACATCTTGAAAATGTAGCTTTTAGATACTTGTTTCATACAGACACATACAGATGACAATTTAGTTTTTATGAAATTTGGAGAGTGTATACCTACCTGTCACAGCCATGTTAGCTGTGTTGTTCTTTGAAAGACCCTTAAGTTTTGTCTTGATTTTGAAGGCTCTTTTGTGATTTTTAGCAAACTCTGCACATACTAGATGTTTTTTAATGGCCACAAAAGTGCAATTTCAGATGAACAAATCTCTCTCACACAAAGAATCTGTTTACTCGGTAGACACAGCAAACTGGTTTCAACATACTACCTGTTTGTTCATTTAATATTGAATTGTTAAACATCACACTATCAAAAGATTTGAAAAGGATTAAAGAGAAAGGGCAAATATCAGATTGGTTTTAATAATACACATATTTGAAAACAACCCCATCCTATAGAAAAATGTAGCAGATACATTAGAACCTAAGAACAAAAGTGATTACACTTTTCAATGAATGGTCTCAGTGAAGGCCTCTGTTTTGTGTTGTGCAATACTCAAAACATAGATAACCATTTTAATGTTAGTTACATGTTTTGCCTCACTCTGAAGCCACTGAATGTTTGTAGCTCCTTCAGTCATGGCCTCCCTAATAGGTTCTAGTCACGCATTTAGAAGTGTAGCAATTTTTCCCCTTGCTATATGTTTTAATTAATTTATGCATTTATGAATGTATTCATTTGGCAGACTTTGACACACTTCTTGGAGGTGAAGTGGGAGGAGTGGAGTTTGGTAAACTTCCTTTTGGAGCCTGCGAGGAGCCAATCAGGTACATTTGTTCTATTTGGGGACAGTACTCTACAAACAAAGTGAATTCTATTTAGAAGTAACTGACCTATTAAAGAATCCAATACAACAAGTTTATATAACAAGGGGGTTATTATTATTATCATTTTACAAGTGTAAATAATAGCATAAACAGCTCATGAGAATATATACAGTGCTTTACTGCATAGCTGTGTATCTCTCTCTTGCCCTCTCTCTTCTCTCATCAATTTATTCCTTCTAATAAATGTGGGTTAAACTGTCATTGGCTGTTGCAGTGAACTTCATCTTGCAACCACTTGGCCTCATCTGACAGAAGGCATAGTTGTGGATAATGAAGTCTACAGGTAAGATTGTCATAGATTTCCCTGTCAGCAGTGTTTGTAACTCCCACTGTTCCATATTCTTCCGTCATGATGTTCTTAATACAATTTCATACTTTTGAACAGAAAAATATCTATTGCATATCATGTAGGAAATCAAGAAACATGATAGACTCAATATTGGTCTTATTTTCTATGATAAATGAACCCTTCAGCACAGTTTCTGTTTCATTCTTCCTGACCACCTGAGTAGTGTTGCACAGTATACCGATATTAAAAAGTTATTGTGATACCCAGCCGTTAAAAATGTTACTATGCGGAACGGCTCCATGTTGCGATTGTCAGTTGTCACACCAGCTGCTGATCAGTATAGCCTCAGTTCTGCCGCTGATCAGCAGCTCTGTAGTTCTGCTACTGCAACGGAATCTTTTTACACAGGAAAATTACCATAATTTGTGTGTGTGTGAGAGAGCCTACTGCCCATCACCTGAAGTTATTTACGTTAACTATTAATGTAACCCTAGTCTTTCTGAAGTTTCTGGTATGACTACAGTATTTCCTTGTCTAAAAGTAATCATATTTACTCAAATAAATAGCACTATATAGTATGAAGCCTTGCATCTTCTCCTTCTCCTCCCTATTTCCCAATTAAACTCTTTTGTCTCTGTCACATGTTCATCTATAGAAAGACGTTATTAAAGTTATGATCTTAGTTACTGTTTAAGTAATGTATTAATTATGCATTTGTAGCAAGAAGCATTTCGATTTTGAGATGAGTAATATGGCTAATTTGCTCTTTTTGAATTGCTTTATGACATTACAGTAATTAAGAATGCATAATTTTGTTTTTATTTTTATATTTTTTTAAATTTATTTTTAGACTTTTTCCTAGGTAAGAAGCCACCTCAATCACCAGACAGATGCTGCCAAGCGGCCACGTGAATTACTAGTTTTTACAGTTTTATAAGATAAAATAAGATAATCCATTATTAGTCCCAAAATGGGGAATTGCAGTATTATAGCAGCAACAGTCAAAATAGGCATCAGCAAGTAATAAGTAACATGCAAGACTTAAGTGTAAGAAATATTGCTGTAAAAATACAGAAATATGAAATTACCATGTAATGTACAAGATCAGTTTGTAAATTTAATGTCCTGGCCCGGTCACCAGCAGTGTACAACTGTGATAAATCTAACGAATGCCTCATATACAGCAATCCAAAAAGTAGCTAACAAGGTTTAGCAGCAAGATACAAGAGGCATGTCTGGCTAGTCGAGTACAGCTGCCATGACTGGCAGGTGGTCAGAGTTTATATACTCTTCAGGTTGCTGGCATCTCAGGAATTGGTGGAGTGGGGACTGGGCCGACCAATCAGGGAGCCGGCATCAGGAGCAGGAGATGATCAGCTGTTGAAGATGAGAAAAGACCATGCCCTCCCTGCTGCAACCAGCGGAGCAGGAAGGGCAACACATTGATTTCCATTAACAAAACTGCACAGAATTTGGTTGGACACAAGAGGGGGCGGGAGTATTTTGTTTTGCCATTTAGCCACAGACCTGTGTGCAATCGAACTTGTAGTTATGATCTTTCCTCACTCTACTATCATTTGCAATTCTTGCTGTCCTCAGTCTGGCGGGTGGTCATGACAGACGCTTCCATCCAGTCTAGGCATAGAACACCTGAAATTAGCATTTAAATCTGTATACCATTGGAGCAAAAGGACTGCAAGGTTAACCAGGTATAGCAGTAGCATTGCTGAAGTTGGCTTTTCCCCTTCTGGAATGTCTGCATTGGGCTACCCTTCGTGCTTTTAGCTGCACAGGAATGCACAGTGTGATGCCTCCACTTTTGAGGGAGGAGTAAAAGTGTGTCTTGGTATGTGAGAGAGCTGCCTTATATGATTGCACATGGTCTCTGCAGGCCTCCAAGTGGGAAGCGAGGCCAGATCTTTTGTAGATCTGCTCCAGTTGACAGCCGGAGGTCTTCATGGTGCAAAGTTCAGCAGTGAACCAGCGTGCTGGACACATGATAGAGACAGTGTGGGTTTTATGGGGGGCGGGACTCGAGACTGAGGTATAGAGCAGTGTTGTAGTGGCAGATCAGGCCATCAACCATGGTGCAGGGGGGATCAGAGGCCCAGTGTGTAGCTTGTAGGTTTGCCAGGACTGGTGCACTCATTTTCTTGGTGTTTCTAAAAGTGATATAAATATATATTCATAAATATATGAAACATAAATAAAACCCCACACAAAACCAAAACATTAGATAAAATGGACTCTGTTAACAAAAATGTCTCTGAGAGATATTTAACATTTGGCTCAGGTAGGGTTGGGCTAACAGCCCCACCAAACTTTTTGTTACACCTGCGCAGAAGCACACATGCAGGTGATGAGTTCCAGTGAGGAGGCTATGAATGAACAATGCTGCAATTAAACACAACTCTGAAGACTATTTTTAATGATACAGGTGTAACTAATTAAAATATGTACAGTGTATATATAATAACATCCCAGTTTGCTTTATTAAATGGGCAAATGATGTACACCTAGAGACTTTGGCTTGGTTGTCTTCTGTTAAGTGTTGTTTTTTTGACAGCACCTGAACGCCGCACCAAAAATGAAACTTATTTTCCCCCGAGGGACCTGTGTGAGTGTTTTTTGGCCATGCAGGGGAAAAGATATCTGGCCCCATTTACAGCTTGAAAAAAGTCCAAAATGCCAACTTTCACACACAACACAAGGACATCTGTGTTTGAGTGATGATTCATGATACTAAAACAGGTTAAAACACACCCGTTGATGTCAAAACCGTATGTCCTTATATCCTATCCTATAAATTTCTTTATTTTGTTCTTTGTTGCCCCTGTCAGCACAGACAAATACACTGGCCTTATAAACAAATACTTTAAAAAAGAGAAGCATGGGAGGAATGATGCATGTGTTGTATGTATCCCAATCAGGAAATGCTAACTTTTTCATATTGTGATAATGCCCTATGTGAAAGAAAAAGAGAGTTCTGCACACAGTTCTGTTTTAGCAAGGACACAAAAGCTGTTGTGGCCATATGGCATGCAGGGTAATAAACAATTCTATTTAAAAAAAATATGTATTATGATATAAATTAGATCATGGTGTCTTATGTACTTAATTTCGACAGAAATGTGAACCAGCAACAGGCACTGTGATTTAATCAAATATACTCTCTTTGTGTGACCTGGCAGTGACCTTGACCCTCTCCAAGCTCCTCACTGGTCTGTCCGAGTCAGGACTGCTGAAAACCCTCAATGTTTACTGGGTAAGAACAATTCCTTTATGTTCAATTTGTATTTCCAAACACAATTTCTGCAAATATAAAAAGTTAATGAAAGGCAATGAGATGATACCGTTTCACCTGTTAACAAGAAAAATCTTTCATGAATTCTCTAAAAATAAGTGTTCCTGGATGCGAGACTGGGGGGTGGCATGATGACCACTGCATCACTACAGCAGAGGAAAAAGAGTGATTTCAATAAATAAGACCTATTTAACACCACAGTTCCCCCTGACTCAAACAGTATGCATTTACCGAAGTCGAGGAGAAGACTTCTTAGCTTATCAAATTGTCAGTGAGAGCTTAACTTGTACAAAGTGTTTTCTTATTTTCTTATATTTATGTATCATGCATGTCACCTAGCTAGCTAATCTATGGCTAATGATAGCTAAGTCTCTGCCCATTGATGTTTTTTTTTTGTATAAGTTTTAGGACAATTTTATTGTTGCTGCAAAAGGCTTCATATACTGTATGTGCTCATACAAATATTCAGCAGCATCAGATAGTCAGACCCCAGCATAGCATTGTTATTTCATCCATGAGCTTTGAAGAACTGTCCCTTTAAGGATGCACCTCCCCACAATGCACACATTGAAGATGGTGCATACTTACACCGGCATAGACCGAAGAAGTGGCCAGATCGTCCCAATGTCAGCCACTAGCCTGCCAATCCCTGGTAACATGAAAATCAGTCCATTGCTAGCAAAGTTGCCATTCGCAAATTCCAAATTTAGAAAACATCATCTTGCCTCATCAATCCTCTGTTCTTTGCCAGGCCAATCATCCCTGGGAGTCTGCTGACTCACAAACTGGATGATTGATAATATGAGGCCCACGGTATGCCAATAAAACATTTGCCACCACTTCAGCCTTTATCTGGAATAATACCACAGATAAAAACGGCACATCTGGGGTGGCACAGGGCTGGAGGATTGGCATCACCAAACTTCCTACACTATGTTACCACTCAGTAACCAGTTCATCGCTAATAACCTGGAGGAGCTCTTTTCAAAGTACTCATTTTAAGCAAAGACAGGCTTTGCCTATCTAGATGACCCCTGGCCAGATGACTCCTGGCCAGTGGCATTTAAGAGAATACAACCCTGATCCTACGTTGGCTGTGATTGATGTGGTACTTTGGTATCTGTTGCCCACTCAGATGCCATTGCCTTTAAAACTTGAGAGTTGAAATTCTCCATCAGGGGATCCATTTTTTATACAGCAGGATCCAGCAGCCAGTTTTTGACTACTTAAACTATAAATGTCCTGCTAGAGATAGTGGAACATAGGACTACAATCAAATTAATGTTTAATCGCTGTTATATGTGGAATTTATTTTCTGGTTCACTCAATTTTGTTTAAGTTGTTTTTATTTTATCATATCTTGTGGATGAGGTTTGTGATAGGGTTGGTCGCATACTTAAAAAAACATGAAAAATATTTAAATATTACCACCACACCACCACCAGCCTAGACTGTTTGCAGAAAGAAAGTTTTAGTATCTGTGGTTATGATACCTTTTAGACAAAATATTGATGAAAGTTTTCTAGTAGTGTTGGCAGTGAAATAATATTAAAGATTTTGACCCATTTTAATCTTCCCTTGCAGGTGACTTACTGACAGAGTTCTTGAAGCTCTCCTTTAGGAAGGAGTCTACTGAGGATGTTCTTGGAAGAAGATTGGTTGAAGATGAGGGCAAAGGTCAGGTTACTGGCTATATTGTCTAACATTGAAGTGGATGGCTTAATTTATGACTGTAGTGTTATAAAGCACACCATATTCAAAAGGAGCATTTTAGCCCTATTACTCATCTCAAAAACTCTAGTAATTGCTTAAAGTGAGTAACCATAACTTCTGTTTTTGTCCCTGTAGAAAATAGTGACGTCAGCACTGCTTTATCCAAGCTGACAGAGCCAGCAGCAACAGTGCCTATCTCTAAACTATCTGTCTCCAATATGGTGCACAGTGCCCGAAAGCACATCCGACGCCGTAGACACGATGATGAGTCACCCCTGAACACTGATGTACTCAATTCTGTCCTTCTGGTAAGAGAAATTCATAATTGTTATGGAAGTTTTCTAGAAGCTAGTGACAGGAGAACTCAGGCAGCAGCTGATGTCTTATGTCTTATAAATGGTAAATATACACTCACTGGAGTGGACCCCCTTTTGCCTTAAGAACTGCCCTAATTCTTCATAGCATAGATTCAACAAGGTGTTGGAAACACTCCTAAGAGAGTTTGGTCCATATTGACATGATAGCATAACACAGTTGCTGCAGATTTGTCGACTGCATATCCATGATGCAAATCTCCCGTTCCACCACATCCCAAAAGTGCTCTATTGGATTGAGATCTGGTGACTGTGGAGGCCATTGGAGTACAGTGAACTGATTGTCAGGTTCAAGAAACCAGATTGAGGTGATGTGAGCTTTGTGACATGGTGTATTATCCTGCTGGAAGTAGCCATCAGAAGATGGGTACACTGTGGTCATAAAGGGATGGACATGGTCAGCAACAATACTCAGATAGGCCGTGGCGTTTAAACAATTCTCAATTGCTACTAAGGGGCCCAAAGTGTTCCAAGAAAATATCCCCCACACCATTACACCACCACCACCAGCCTGAACCGTTGATACAAGGCATGATGGATCCATGCTTTCATGTTGTTTATGCCAAATTCTGACCCTACCATCTGAATGTCACGGCTAAAATCGAGACTCATCAGACCAGGCAATGTTTTTCCAATCTTCTATTGTCCAATTTTGGTGAAGCTGTGAATTGTAGCCTCAGTTTCCTGTTCTTAGCTGACAGGAGTGGCACCTGGTGTGGTCTTCTGCTGCTGTAGCCCATCTGCTTCAAGGTTTGAGGTGTTGTGCTTTCAGAGATGGTATTCTGCATACCCTGGTTGTAACGAGTGGTCATTTGAGTCACTGTTGCCTTTCTATCATCTTGAACCACTCTGCCCATTCTCCTCTGACCTCTGACATCAACAAGGCATTTCCGTCGACTTCGGTAGCACGAGAGGATGGCTCCTGACCGAACTGCCGTAAACCCCCATATAATACAGGAGATTTGCCTTGCAAGAGTTCAGGAGTATACAGTATACTAATGTTGGGCGGAGACCATTGAGGAGCAAAAGGGAACTGACAAGGATAACTCGGGTGGTGGTGGCGACGAGGCTATGCTAGGCGAAATGGTCTCATTAGCTTCCATCCGTGTAGTCGTAAGTGAAGCCATGGCTAAAGCTACATCTGAGCTGGAAAACAATATCTAAACAGTTCTCAGACTTCCGGAGCAATATTCAAGAGGATATCAAAAAACAACTTGGTGAAATGAGATCGGATTTTAATCTGAAGATGGAGTAGACCGTGAAGAAAATTGAAGTGGTGTTGCAGAGACTGGGGGAAGCCGAGCAACAGGTCGGAGAGGTGGAGACATTCAGTATGGAAGTGAATTAAACTTTAAACCAGATGCAGAGAACTCAAATCCAACTGCAATCAAAGCCAGCCGAACTCGAAGGGCATTCCCGCCGCAATAACATACGGATCCACGGCATAAAAGAAGGAGCCGAGGGCACCTCCATGATTCACTTTGTTGAGAACCTCATTCAAACTGAACTGGGTGAGGGCACCGGCCCAAACAAACTTGGTATTGAGTGTGCACACAGAGCACTCGGACCCAAATCAGCTGGTAATGGCCCCCGAGATCCACGATCGTTAGATTCCTGAAATACACAACCAAAAAGAGGATTATCAGCGCGGCATGGAAAAAAAACATCACGGTGGACTGGAATAGGGTGTTTTTTGACCACGACTACGCAACAGTTGTTATGGATTAAAGGAGGGAATATCTGCCGATCAATAAAGTACTCAAAGATAAGGGAATCAAGTTCCGCACACTGATGACAAAAATTCGCGTTTTTCTGGACTGCGGGACAGTTACATATGACAACGTGGATCAAGCCAGAGATGAAGTACGAGCAAAGGGATTCCCAATCCCACCGAGACCCGAGGGCAGATCGAGGGAGTTCCCATTTCAGCTGGGAACAGGTGAAACTTTGCGGCTGAAACATCCCCCTTTATAAGAGGTCCAGGAAAAACCTCTTCCATGGAAGACAATTTCTTGTTTACTGCCACGTTTTATTGTTGTGATTGTTCTGTTATTACTGTTCATGGTTAATATTTGCTGTTCTTAGGGGAGGCGAGTGAATGTATAGGAGAATACTGGTCTATAGCTGAGTAACAAATAATTTAAGGTTGTCACCCTAAATGTCAATGGTTTGTCGACTCCTGTAAAGAGAAGTAAAGTGATATCAAAAATAAAAAGGGAAAAGGCACAAATTATATTCTGTCAAGAAACCCATCTCACAGATCAGGAACATGAAAAGATAAAGAATATGGGTTTTAGACATACTTATTATTCATCCTTTAAAACAGGACACAAGAGGGGCATGGCAATTCTGATGCCAGATAAGGTTCCTTTTGAAATCAAGTCAGAGATTAAAGACAGGGAGGGCAGGTTTATTATGGTAAGCGTCAATTTAGATGACAAGGGCATGACCCTGTTGAATGTGTACGCGCCTCCAGGCAGCAACAAAACATTTTACAAGAAGATATTTGATTTAATAGCATTTCAATCTGCTGGAGTCTCAATCTGTGCAGGTGACCTCAACATAATTTTGAACCCAAAGTTGGACGCAACTAATCAAAAAAGGAAAATCACCCCCACTGAAAGATGGATTAAAAGAAGAATTCAAGATCTAGGTTTGATAGATGTTTGGAGGGATTTCCACCATCAAGATAAAAAGTTTACTTTCTACTCAAACCGTCACAATGCATATTCACGACTCAACTATCTATTTGTGCATAACTCAGAGAGGCACAGGCTAAAGGAATGTGAGATAAACCAGAGAGATATATCAGATCACTCTAGTGTCCACTTAAAACTACATCTAGATACTAGACCCACAATGACAACGTGGAGATTAAATGTAAGCATGTTAAATAGCCCTGAGTTTAAAGAGAAAATAAAGAAAGAATAAAAAACTTATTTGGATTTTAATGATGATGGAAATGTGAATTCAGTGATGCTGTGGGACGCCGCCAAAGCAGTCCTGTGGGGGAAAATTATAGCAGAATCTGCATTCATTAAAAAAATGAAAAACCCAGAAACTAAAACTTAAACCTGCAAAAACAGCTAACAGAACTGGAAAAACAACATAGTAAGAGTAAAGACCCACAATTACTCATACAGATGAGACCGATCAAACAAGAAATAGACAAAATTTACTTTGATGAAGTAGAGAAAAATCTCAGGTTCACAAAACAGAGATACTATGAGGCAGGCTCCAAAGCATCCAAGCTGCTAGCCTGGAGGCTGCGAAAACAGCAGTCAGATAATACAGTCTACAAGATTAGGGACACTACCACTAAAACAGTTACATATAAACTAGGGGGTATACAAAAAGCATTTGAGAAATTTTACCAGACCCTATATACCCAACCCACACCGTTTGATCCCGCTAAAGTAGAAGAGTTCCTGTGCCAGTTGGACCTGCCCTCCCTGGGGAAATTGCAATATAAAAAAATTATTAAAAGAAATATCAGCTGAAGAAATTGATAAGGCGATCCTCTAAGTCTCCACGGACGGACGGATTTCTTGGAGAATGGTATAAATCGCTGAGGGAGCAGTTGATACCAATACTACATAAAAGCTTAAATTATACCCTGAGGGAGGGAGCCATCTCAGTGATTCCAAAAGAGGGCAAGGACCCGAAGACATGCAGATCTTATAGACCTATTAGCGTTTTAAACCAAGATTATAAATTATATGCAGCTATTTTGACCAAAAGAATGGAGGAAGTGATACCTCTTCTGATGAAGATCAAACCGGGTTAATTAAAGGTAGACAAACTCAGGACAACATAAGGAGGACCCTCCACATTATTGAACATATAAAAAAGGAGAAAATTGGAGCTATCCTACTTAGCATGGATGCGGAAAAAGCTTTTGATTCGGTGGGTTGGGAATTTCTTTATACAGTTATGGAAAAATTTGGAAGTTCATTAAAGGCGTCAAAACACTACACACGTCCCCCATAGCCAGAATTAAGGTAAATGGAGGCCTGTCAGGAACTATTCACCTGCAACGTGGCTGTCATCAGGGCTGCCCAGCCAGCCCAGTGCTCTTTAATTTTTTATTGAACCTCTTGCTCAAGCCATAAGACAGAATCCCGACCTGGAGGGCATCACAATAAAAGGTATATAATACAAAATATGTCTTTTTGCGGACGACGTCTTGGTCAGCCTAAAGAATCCAGAGTCAGGACTACCAAGACTAATGGATTTCCTGCGGATTAATGGAACCCTTTCAGGCTACACTCTTAATGTCGATAAAACACAAGCCTTGATGTTCAATTTTGCGCCATCATTAGACCTTAAAACAAGTACAGGTTCAACTCGGACTCTACCTCTATTATATACTTTGGTGTTAAATTAACAAAGGACATAACACATTTCTTGGAAAATTATGTAAGTATTAATTCCCAGATAAAGGAGGATCTAGACAGATGGGCCTCCCTGCCCCTGGAAGTTGGTCACAGAATTTTGACAATAAAGACAAATATTTTACCCAGATTACTTTATCTGTTTGAGTCCTTACCTATTTGTGTCCCTGATAGTCAATTTAGAGAATGGGATAAGATGATATCTGGAACGGCAGATTTCAGACCAGATATGAGTGATGGCGGCTTCATTCAATGGGAAAGAAAAGGACTCTACACATTATGTCTACTCATTGAAAACCAGGATTTAATAGACTTCAAAACCATCTCAGATACGGCCTCGTTCGGCAGGATTTCTTATAGGTACCTCCAACTCCGGCACTACTTTGATAAGAACATTAAAGGACTTATACAGGAAAATATATCAAGTATTACCAAAATGTTTGTCATAGCCTATAACACAAACCTCTCCAGAAAAACCATTGGAGAACTATACAAACACATAGCTGAATGGAGAGGTCACTCAACAAACTACGGTTTATTAAGGCGAAATGGGAAAAAGAATTGGGAACTGTAATTACTTCTGAAGACTGGACAAATATAATTGACACACACATTGACTGTGGAGAAAAAATGTTATTAGATTTTTTATAACACCAAAGCAAAAGTCTAAACAGACAGGACTACAACCTACATGCTGGAGAGGATGTGGACACAGTATGGCAGATTCATTTTATGAATGTGCGCATGTGTGAGTGCAATTTTGTATATATGATTATGTTTACGATTATTCGGACGTGTGGGTGTAAGTGAATACGTGCGCGTATGTGTTCAGGTGCAGAGGCATATGTGTGCATATTTATTTTTTGTTTTTCTTCTTTCCTTTCCCTTTTTGTTGTTTCTTTTCTATTAAAAAGGACACTACATGGCTAGCATTTGAATTATTTGGTCACATAATATTGTAACCATACTTTGGTATTTATTGTATTCATGCTGCCCATGTTTTGTACAAAAAACTTGAAAAAAATAAAGTTTAAAAAAACAAGGCATTTCCGTCCACACAATTGCTGCTCACTGGATATTTTCTCTTTTTCGGACCATTCTCTGTAAACCTTAGAGATGGTTGTGTGTGAAAATCCCAGTAGATCAGCAGTTTTTGAAATACTCAGACCAGCCTGTCTGTCACCAACAACCATGCCACGTTCAAAGTCACTTAAATCCCCTTTCTTCCCCACTCTGATGCTCGGTTTGAACTTCAGCAAGTTGTCTTTACCACATCTAGATGCCGAAATGTAGTAGCTGCCATGTGATTGGCTAATTAGCTACAGTATTTGTGTTTACAAGCAATTGAACAGGTGTGCCTAATTAAGTGGCTGGTGAGGGTATATATAGCTACACTGAAAAGGCCAATGTACACCTTCAAAAATATAGTGGACAGGTGTGTCTGAGAAAAAGCACATGACAGCAGGTGAGAGAAGAGGAATCCTGCACACTGTCCCACTACTATAAGACAGTAATGACTTAAATCCACACCCAACACAAAATGATTTGTCAAAAACAGAATTTTAGTTATAGTTAATGTGTTTTGTGTTGGGCTAATGCAGCATAGTGTAGGGACAAGATCACTGGGGACTTGGTGACATCAATTCAAATTCTGGTCAGGGCATTCGTTATTTGGTAATTCATATGAAATAAAATAGGTTGTGATCTTTTGCATAAACAAACCATGACTCTATCCCCCTGCAGAGCCCAATTGAGCATGAAAGATATTCTCCTTTATTCTAAATGTCAATGTAGCGTGATGGTTGAGTTAAGCAGGATTTCAACACAAATTTATTTTTTTATTCTTGTATGTCTCAGTATCTCTTCCCAGATGCTGCTGTGGAGCGATCATCAGAGAAAAGCAAGAATAAAGCTGCACAGGCAAACTCCTATGAGAAAGCCGAGCAAGATAAAAACTCTGACTGTGTAAGTTGACTCTTCCACTGCTCTTTTACCACTTGATTGAAACCTTACATATCACCTGGTAGTGACATCTAAGATGACATTTTAAGTCAGCTTTTTCCAGAATCCAAAATGGTCATCATTTAGTCTTGAAAACACACAGGATGTACATATAGAGTGGGAAAATGAGATCTGACCACAAGTGGTCACAGTAGACATATTAGGACACATTTTAATGCCAGCTGTGGACAGACAAATCTAACACTGTCCACTTGTGATCGCATCACTAGCATGGATGTTAATACCAGGTCTGAGCAGGAGAGTGCTGTGTTTGCATCCTGCACACCAGAGAGAGGAGAACATCACAGGCTTTAGCAGAGGGGAGAACATATGCTTTCCCATGGCACATAGTGAGGTCTAATGCTAACTGCCAACTGTCAAATGTCATCACAGCAGTGCTTTTCTGTAATAGTGTTGTGTCCATAGTAACATCATATGTAACAACATAGATATTGATACATTTAATATTTCAATATTAATTGCAATAAATCATTATGCTAGTTA